GTCGTAAGTCGAGGACTACCTGTGTAAATTACTGTGTAAAAGTAAAGCGTTGAGGCTGCAATGTTATTAACATCTATTGTACTAAAAAGTCAATGACTTTTTTTCACCCTTGTATTCCACCCTTTTCACCCTTTTCTTTTTCCTCTGACAGGTTCCCATTATTTTCATTTTCATTTCTATTTTATGTTCGGATAAACTAATACAAATTTGTAACCTGAAAAAACAATTGAGGCAAAAAAATGTAGTAAAATCAGGTGCAACTCTCTTAGCAACTGCTTTGCTGAGCAACAGAAATTCTAGCCCAGTTGTGGTCACAAGCTGAGGACTACTTGTATGTGCCTGGAATTAAATATCTTTTATGAATGAAGGTGGCTATACATGTCCCAGGATAATGTTGCAGGATCCAATCTGGGTTGATTACCAGGACAAGAGGTTTAATTTTCTGAACTTCCGGCCTTGTGCCGGAGGCCATCATCAGGGAACTTCTCTCTACTAGATTCTTAAAAATAATCATACAACATGCACTATTTTTATTTATTATACTCTGTGGAATCTACTATGGAGCTGGGATAGAATGGGGAGAAGGAGGAATTTAATCAGGAGAATTGGAAATATTTAGTCCACTGTTCATCTTGTGTGTGTGTGTGTGTGTGTGTGTGTGTGTGTGTGTATTCGGATTTTCACAGTTATTAAGGACATATACAGTTATTAAGGACATATACAGTTATTAAGGACCAGCGAAAGCTAAGTTGTTTTTTAATATTGTAAATAGTTGCTTTTATTGTTTTTAAAATCTTTTTAACAATAAACAGCTGATTTATACCTCTCCCGGAGATCGAGGATTGTGTTATTGAATATAATCCAGTTCTTAGTGTCTGTTTAAAGCAGGGAAGAGAGAAAATCTTTCATGTTCTCAACATTCAAAACAGGCAATATCAAATTGCTGGTCATTTCGTTTGATATTCTCAGCAAAGAAAAGCAACTCAAGGCCAGATGTCTTATCACTCCAGCTCTTAATATTCAGAATCAGTAACAATAATTCAGAAGGTTCACTTTTGTAGTGACCCCACCTAGAGTCTCATAAAAGCAAACTATTTTCTTTAGAGTTAAAACTTAGCTTGCTGAGAAGTCTTATGAACCGGCAGAGGATATTCCCATAAATCTCTAATAACTTATAACTGTTCCTGACTAATTGGAAATGCCACTTTGCTCTTCCTCATGTCTCAAATACCCTTCACAGTTATAGGGAGCATACTATTATTCTCACACAGAGTTTGCAACTTTTGGTCAAAGTAATGTAACTTGTTTGTTTTTTTCCTTATTACCTTGCCCTTGTCAAAATAATGGATAATTTCTTGATAGAGCTGATCTTTGAGTTGTCCTTGCGTTGCTGCCTGGTAGCCATCTCGTTGGGTAAGATGCGCTGCACATGGTTCTTCAGACCACTATATCAAATGAAAGCCATGAGGAAATTAAACATTAATAATGATTAATGCATGCATAGCTTTATCCTGCTTTAAAGAAAACTAAGGAATTTATTTATTTATTTATTTATCAATCAAGTTTATATACCCATCATCTCACCAAGGGGGATTCTGAGCAGCATACGCAACAGGTAAGACCGCATATAAAATCCACAAATATTTTAAAAAAATATAAAAATCACACTAACAGTAAATACAGTGGTAACTCAGTACTCGACTTCCCCAGTACTCATCATTTGTTTGGTACTTGGTGCACAAGCTAAAAGTTGTTGGTATCAGCTGCCTTGTGACTCACTACCCTTTCCGGCCAAAACAAAGGGTCACATGCTAGTCATGTGGTTTGTTTGGCACTCATTGTTTTTAGTACTCATCACGTCTCACAAAACCAATTAATGATAAGTACTGAGGTACCATTGTACTAAAAAACACAGATGAAGTTAGTTTATGAGGAATTTTTTCAGGATGTAGAATATGACATTGGTGTTAGAAATTCAGATTTCACCTACTGAAGGAGGTCAGGAACTAAATGAAAATGCCTCACATAATCATTCATAGAATTATTTCTGTTGTAAATGAGCCTAGAGCATGGATCAGTTTTGAGTAAATAGAACAATAAGAGAAGAAAGGGGGGGGGGGAATCAGATATCTTTTGAGATTGTTGAGAAAAATTAGTATGTTGTAACCCATCTTCAGGTTTCAAAAATCAAAATATCAGTTCCTGAAGAGAAGATGAAGGCACATACTCTGCCCTCTTTCTTCAACCCCAATCCCTCTAAGCTGATAGGGAAAATCTGCAAGGAAAAATGAAACCAACCAATCTGCAGTCATATTGGCTGGGGATTCATGTGACACCATATCAGAACAGATTGAATTGTATTATCAGTCCTTGCCACCAAGAGGTAGTAGACAAACATTGAAATTGTATATGACTAAATTACTGTTTAAATTATAAAATATATTCATTAATTGGTTATTTTAAGAGATTCACAAATGAGCATACAGTTGAAAAGACTTCCAAGAGATGGCAAACAATTCAATCATTGATTACTGTTCCCAGTTTTAGGCCAGTATTACAACACATAATTTACAATTTCAACACAGCTGCTATTAAATGTTATGTGTGGGTCTTTTATCTTACATGGAAAAGATGAATAAAGCTTTCCTGTATCATTGAATCAATACAGGACTAAAATCACAAGTATTTCAAACACAGGGATCCTGCCAAATATATAAATTAGAGCTAATATATTTTAAAGAATTTTCATGAATTGAATACAAAACTATTTAAGCTAAAAGAGAATAATATTGATACTGAAGGTATGTGGGCATAGAGAAATCTGTTCTTTTTGTGAATATGTATCTTTATTAATTAATACAAGGAAATTAGAAAATTATCTTGATTTTGATTTTGAAAATGTTATATAACAGTTGTAAAATCATTTTAAAATTTAACAACTTCAGGCCCCTCTATGAGACAGTATTATGCTATAATTTTAGTTACACACAAATATAAATACAGAAAAAGCAGAATAAAAGACATGTTCAACCTAGCATTTGGGGGTATCTGATCATATTTTGAATTTTGTCATGCTTTGTTTTTAATACCTTTGTTTGAATTATCTGAAAGTAAAGAAAATAAAGTGAAGCAGAGTGAAAACACAAATAAGCTATGCAGGTTATTCTTCAAACATCATTAGGTTTGGATATTTCCTGAATACAGAATCCTATTCCTTTTTTTTCCACTGTGGGTGCAATTAATTCTGGATAGGGTTAATATCACCCTCTCACTCTTATTCAGTTTGGCCAAGTAACCATATACTTGGGTCTTAATTTATTAATATTTTCAGGATTTTTAAGTTCTTAAAAGTTAATGTACATCTCAGTTCTTGCCCCCTACTCAGAACTTGCGTAATCTCAGCATGGCACACTTTTTTTGCTCATGATTTTGTTGTTACTGGGACTTTTCTCTCTTTGTTGGCTGCCTTCAAGTTGGAAGGCATGGTTACTGCCACGTTCCAAAATTATTTCCAAGTAGCATCACTGCTGCTTATTGAGATTTTTCTCAAGCTTCTAAACCTTTAGAACTCAATCAGTACTTGCATGCGCAGGTAGTAGCTCTGCTGCTACTGTTGCTCCAACATTGCCTTCACTTCCTTCACTATGTTATTTTTTTTCTTCCATCTTCTATAGATATTTTTCCTGTCACCAAGTCTTTCTTATCCAAAAATCTTTGGAAAATAAGTCAATCAGGCTATGGATACATCTGCATCCTTGAAAAGAGGCAATTGACATTGGCATGCATACAAATAAAGTGGGGCTGTGTCTGATTAGCCATCCTGGTTTTTGGCAGAAAAGAAGGGATGCCATTTATATTGGAAGAACTTTCCAATGTTTGTTTGGGAAGTGGCAGCAGAGGAAGGAGAAAGAGAGTCATCTGAGTGAGTGTCAGAGGCTAGTGTAGACGGCCAGTCTTCATCCTCTTGGTTAGACAGGCTGGTCTTGCTTCTCCAATATGGGTTTCAAATGTTGTCTGAGCTGACCACCATGGCATAGCTAATCTGAAGTCAGGAAGATTGTCCTTTCAGTAGCAACCACTCAAACTGGCAAAATGAGCTGCTTATCATATTTAAACTTATAAACTTATAAACATTTTTTTAATCTCATGTTTTGTTATTCTACGGTTTATAGCTCTACCAGACTGCTAGGGGGAAGTCCTAAATTACTGGAAACAGAAAAAACAAAATTCTGAGGAAATGTGAAGTGGAATACAGTGGATAGGGATCTTCTTATCCGTGATTACCTGCACATTATTGTTTTCTTAAATAATTTATTTCTCCTTAACAATTAGAAAACTCAGTTTTAATAAAAGCTGTTTAGTGACAGCTTCATCCTTTAAGCGTGACCTAAATGTCATTGACATTTTCTTTTTTATAATAAAAGCATATGAAATTTTAGAGAAGATAGGTAAATCAACTGAGAAATGTCTCTGCACTGGTCTTACAAATCTACTGTAAACCTTTTCTGTTCTTATAGTGACATTTTCTTACATTCAACATAACTCAGCTGTCCTTTCATTTTTTTTTCTTATTTAAAGGTGCTCTTTAAATGTCCTATCCTTTTGTCTCTATTTTTTTCTGAAACATCTTTCTTATATAATATCAAAATAGATCACACACTAGCATGGGCCATATTAATGATTTTAAAATGAACCATAAATCCACCAGAAACTCATTTTCATCATTAGTATCAGTAATATGATGTTATGTATGTATGGTTTTTTAAAATATGGTATTTCTACATTTTCAACATGGCTTACAAACATTAAGATATTCAATACTTAGAATACTGCTCTCAGCAAACAAATATTACATTGAAATGCTGATAGGAAGAGATAGTCTTTCTGTCTCACAGAAATGCACAAATACCACAGTCAGCTGGTTGCTGGGAAGTTTGAGAACTTGAAATGGAGGAAAGGGATATAGCATGGTCCACATACATTACATCCTTGTGTGTGTCACTCCATTTCCACAGAACTCCCAACTATGCAGTATGAATCCAGAGTCAGAAGAGGAGTTCTGTGCTTTACTTGTGCAAATATAGAATTCCCTGTCAGACTCTGTCATTCAGCATGGATCGGTAGGAAGATGTGAAAGGAATAGAAACAATGCCATCCAATAAGAACCAGTCAAGTGTTTTAAGGCAGATTAAACCGGAGATCCTAAGCTATGTAGACACATAATCTGGCCTACATATTCATCCAAACAATATTATAAGGATGATTCAGCTTTATACCAGAATAACCTCTGTTCTGATTGATGCACAATGAAAGGTGACTGTGCAGATTATACGGTGATT